TAAAGTGATCCATGGATGGGGAAATGTTGGTAGTTTTCTCAAAAAATGCTTGAATTCAAGAAGTTTTAGATTTGAGTGGTTTTCTTTGAGTTGCAAAATCCACTTGAACATGACGCTGCTTTTTTCGAAGTTTCCCCCCATAGGGCCATCATAATAGGCCAATCTTGAAGATTTGTAGTTAGAATTTTGCAAATTTTAACTTTTCCTTCAATATACGCAAACCTGCCTCTGCCTGCCCTCTATATTGCGTACTTCCCCAAAATAAGTCTTTTTTAGAATTTCCGTTAATTTCGAAAATGAATGATGAATCGAGAATTTCTAGTAGAAATTCGAGGAAAACAAATTATTGAATCTACTTATGCTATCAGCCCTGATAACTTGGTATACTTGAAATGCGCGACAATAATTGTGTGAATAAAGATAATAATTTATTGACTTAACGTCTGAATCGACGATATAAAACGATTCCTCAATGTTTACCCGCAGAAAAATTACCATCTGCTTATATTCCTTCACTCATCTGCAGTTTTACGTAATAATTCGATTGAATGGCTTCCAAATGGACTAAACCCAACTAGCGACGCTGTTCACTTCATTATGCCGAACTATTTAAATGGTGAAAATGAAAAAATGGCCTTTCAAAAGCCTCAGCATCGTCTGGTCGATCCACTTAACATAAAATCGGTTTAACCAACCGTTAGTTCTTTCTAATTTCGATAAATCGCTTCAAGTGGGTACCCGACTTCCTTGTTCATGTGGTGGATTGATTAAAAGTGCACCAATTGACACACACTGTACCAACCCACTGGGACATAGTTAAAAGCTCGAAGAAAACCGGTCGATCGAAAAACGGTTTTCGCCTAAGGGGGTTACAACAAAGGTGCCAGTTATGTAATGGGGATTTATACGTACCGAGAGCCATTGAGATCAGGGGTCAAACGGGTCGAAGTCCGGCGGATTAGGTGGCCAAAACGACAAATCCGTATTGCCAAGTGCACCTATCGGAGTTTCTTCATGTTTTCTTTGCTCCCATCTATAGGCACTCAAGGGCTTCCTCTTCGGCACTGGGGCGTTGTTTGGATGTCTTCTGATCAGGAAGCAATCATCAAAGCGCTCTGAAGAGTCAAACCGCATGCCAACTCAAAAAATTGCAAATGCAAATTCTCACGCCTTTGCAAGCAAAAGTGGGCAAGTGGTCTTGGAACTTGTTTCACTTATTCGCATTAAAATGCAAACATGTACAAACTGTTCTGTGGGCGATAGGGAAATTTCAAAAAAATCAACAGTTTTGCTTGTGTTTTCCCCCTTTGCCTCGGACGGTTTCCAAAGCAACTTTACCGTCATATCGACTTTTCAGCGCCAACACAAACATAAGAAACCCACAGTGTTTACAAAGCTGTATAGTGAACATGAACTAACTCAGGCGGAAAATGGATTTAGATCATGAGTTCGAATCTGACGATAGTTTCTTTGATGATCCCAAACTATCGAAAAAGACCAAAACTACCGAAAAAAAGTCGCTGGAAGACATCTTCGGCTTTGCCGATGAAAGGAAGGCGGATAAAAGCGGGCATAGTTCTTTAGAGAACATCCAGAGCACAGCAACCAAATCTAAAGTGAGTATATCACTTTGCCCCTCTGTCCACCCAAAAATCACTCCTCAACTCTAGGTTCGCTTTGATGTCGATACAGCTGAGGAGGACTCAAAACGAAAAGCCCCAGACTGGCTGGGAGGGTCAGAAGATGTAGATTTTTCCAAAAAATCATCTTCCTCCCTGAAAAGCAATCCCAAGAGCGACTTTTTCGACGACGTCCTAACTACCCCTGCCTCAAGGTCCGACAGCAAAAAGTCCTTCGATCTCCTGGACGATCTCTTGCCTCAGAGAGGCAGAAAAAACGAACAAGCCAAAACTTCCTCATTCGACGATATTCTACGAGAGAGCAAAGCTCAGAAATCTGGCCCTGAGTCCCTAGAAAATCCACGGCAAAAAGCGGACAAACCTGCCGAAAAAATGACGCCTGAGGGCTTCAGCACGATTCTGGAACCTTCGCAAGGGCCGAGAAGAAGTAGACGCGGCTCTAACACGGGCGTAGGTGACGTTTTGGGGCTGTTTGGCCCCAGTAAAACCGAAGAAAAACGATCGACATCCAAAGGTCAGGCTTAAGCAATCACCCAACTTGCAATAACTCAAAAAATCACCCAGATGTTCCCGATTGGCTCGGTGGAAGTTCCACATCAGTCAATGTGTCTGATACCACAATATCTCTGCATAAGGCTGAATCAAAAAACCTTGAAGACCCAAGCAGGAACATTCCTCAAAAGGAGTTTCGAGCTGAAACATCCACATCAAACAATGAAGCTGCTTCAGACATCCCTAGAAAAGCCCAATATTTGAAAGTTTCTTCACAAGGCAACAGAGTCAATTAACTAGAAAAAAACCAGTCTGAAATTGAGTTGAATTTTAGGCGATGAATCCTCGATCAACACCTTCCAAGCCAACATTTCCAACCTGCAAACCCAAGAATCGTTTCTTCTAGTGTCGCTTCAGCTGAAAAAGTATGAAGAGAACCTGTCGGAAATCAAGAGCCAGCAGCAGGAAATCTTGAGGAAGCAGGAGAACCAGTTCGATTTATTTTTGAACAAGTACATAGAGAAGCAAAAGAGCATTGAGCATGAAATGCTCGCTCAGCAGGAACGGGTTAATGACCATATCAGAGCTTTATCAGGGTCTCAAAGCACGTTTCCAGCATATTTGAGTCAACTAGAACTATCTGCTAATTTCCTGCAGGTAACAAGTCTTCAACCACCGAAACCTCGGACAAGTTGGAAGGCGAATCCAACACGGAGAGTGTGGATAAAATCATCCAAAGCTTAAAGCAACGACACGAGGAAGAATTCTTCCTCATGGAAGAATCTTATAAGTGAGTAGGCACACCAATGGCGCACTTCGGCACTGAATAAATCCTCGATATTCCAGGAAGCAAATATCCCTTTTGGAAAAATCATCGGCCAAAGTCGAAGAACGGTTGAGCGAAGAGATTGAAAACTCCACCAAACTCTACCAGGAAAAAATCGACAACTTAAAGCGCGAACACAGCGACGAACTAAAACATTGGACAGACAGAATGAAGAGCATTGACCAGAAGCACCAGGAAGATCTGGAAAACATCAAGGAAAACCACGGCAGGATGATCAGGGAGGTTAAAGACGAGTTCCTCGACCAGCTGGAGAGGTTTAAAGAGCAACGATCCCATGAAACTGAACTGTTTGCCCATAGCGCTGACTATTCCCAGCTGCTTACGGCCAGTGTGGAAAAACTGCAGAAAAACGAGCAAGTTTTGGGAAACATTCAGGAAAAAGTTGTCACCGACTATGGAGTTCTGAGCATTGCCAGGGAAAGATCAATCGAGAACAAAGAAAAAGAACTCACAGGCAGGTATTTGATTGCGACGACCTTCGTTGGCTGAAAATTCCTTCATCAACAGCCATGAGAGAAGCTTTGGAAAGATCCAGGGAACAAGCTGAGAAGGACCGCTCAACATTGTTCGCACTTGTCCGGACTCTAGAGCAAAAGATTTCCGAGCAAAACCACAACGCCCAAGAAGAAAGATGGGCTTTGCAGCAGGCTGCCAGCACACTAGCCGCTCGATCTTCAGCTTTTGATAGGGAAACGGAGTTTAGTAGAGCCTCCATTGAACGGGAACGCGAACAAATCAAGGTGAATCCTTCAAATGCTTCTGCACAAATTTCAGTATCATCAAGCTTGCAGACTCTGAAAGAAGCTATGTTAGCCGAACAGGAGAAAGTGGCCCTGGAGCTAACCGAAGCCAAACTGAAACTAACATCCGAAAGGTCCAGACTGGAAGTATCCGCCAAACTGATGAACAATTATGAAGTTGAGAAAATGAAGACTGAAGCAGAGACGGCGATACAAGTTGCAAAGGAGCTAACTGATAAGCTGAATCTGGAAAGGACCTTCGTGCAGAGGCAGAAGATGGAACTGCAGAGCTTTAGGTTGGTAGGCTAAAAGGCCGGAACTGCTCCGGGCTACGGTTGAGTCTAATTTTGCAGGAACCAACTACTGGAGAAAGAGCGCGATCTGCTGGAACGCGAAGAAACTGTCGAAGAAATGAGCAGGTCAATCCAGCACAAAACCAGCGAAAATCGACGCGTAATCCATGAAACTAAACACCTGGAAAACAGGTTAACCTGTTAATAAACCCATTAAAATGGAAGTAGTTAGGCAAAGTAAATGTTGCAGGTACAAAGACAAGCTGCTGGAGCTCCAAGCTCAGGCCACGTCGCTTTCTAACCGCGAGAAGAAATTGGCCGAGGAAAAGCTGCTGGTGTCCAAAGAACGACTGGGTTTGTACACATCAATGAAACTGCAAGCGAGTCAAAAGAAGTGCATGCTTTGCCAAGCAGAGACCGAACATAAACTTGGCAAAACCGAGTCTTTGCCTGTGGGTTACGGGGTAAGTTGTCTCGAGTGTTGAAACTTTCCGTCAATGCATTGGAGTAGGCCTGGGTAACACTGTGTTGAGTGCGCTTTTGAAGTGTTGCCGCTTGGTGCGCTAATTTTTATCGTAAAATAACTCTACAGTCTTCACTAAAGCCCGTGTCCCATGCATCCGTTTGTACGATGATACGATGGTACGAAAGTGTTTCTATTGGTTGGAGATCTGTCAATTCGTCCTCCGTTCGTAAGACGGTGGACGAATTGACAGATCTCCAACCAATAGAAACACTTTCGTACCATCGTATCATCGTACAAACGGATGCATGGGACACGGGCTTTAGTCCCAAGTTTTCCAAATAATATCATATATATCATAATTTTTCGCGAAAAATTCCTTAAGCTTATCAGTATTTTTAACTGAATCTTTAGAAAAAAAGAGTAACTTTGCTAAAACTGAAAAATTCTAAAAACCTGCGGAAATGTTAAAAATATTATGGATAAATGGCCCTTAAATTAAATCTAGAAACAAGTAAAAAAGGTCATCGACATTTTCCCTGCAACGGAACTGAGTTACTGCGCCGGTGCGCGGGTTGGGCCATTTGCGCGACACTGCGCCAACTCCTAAAAATTAATTGAGTTACCCAGGCCTACATCGGAGTTTTCCCTTAAGGAACCTAACGGAACCGGAACTACCGATCCGGACTGGATCAGACTCAGAATGGATGCAATGGAAGACGAACGCAATAGCGAGGTAAGCAAGGAAGATAACAGCACCAATACATCAAAGTTACACTAGTTTTCCTGATGATTGGAAAAAGTCCATGCGAGCGCATTCAGGTTTTTTAAGCGCCAAATCACGTTGATTGTTATCGTGAAAATCTATGATCAACTAACTATTTTGTATGTAGAATTTTATTTAAAAAAATGAAACAATTTATTCAGGAAAAGGTGACCAGACCGAAAAAAGAACACAATAAACTTTATTAAACATATATTTTCACAGCAGATGTACTGTATGTAACCTGGCATAATTAACATATAATTCTAGATGAGACTAAGCGGTTAACAATAGAACTGTTCGTTCCAAGTGTGTGGTTTGTGCCAGAGCTACCTTTAAGATGCACATCCCACTAGAAACCGATCATTGTAGTTAAGTGGATTAATAATAATACATTAAATACAAACTTATCACATACGTACGGAATTTCTGCATACAGTATGGAAACCCCTTAATCTAAGGACTAAAAGTAATATTATCGCTTTTTTAATATACTGAGAAACTTTTGCAAGGACGTTCAGTACAGGCCAGACTTGTTCAAGTAACCTAAACAAATGCTGATTATTGATAGTTTTCGAGGCGCTTTGCTTTCAGCAATAAAACGATAATATCTTGGAGACGCTCTCAGCAGAATAATTAGTCAAACGAAATTCTCCAATCCGCGTTGTTCCCTTAACCCGAACTGCTCCTGTGGTCTACTAAACAATATTTATACAAGAATCATTGTAGAGCTGAAAATAAAACAAGAAACAACGAAAGATGAAACGATTAATCCCGGGCATGGCCAATAATGGCCAAAATGTACATGAAGATGTTGACAATATCCAAATACAGATTCAAAGCGGCAAAGACGTATTCTTCGGGAGAAATGCTGTACTTGTGCTTGCCGCCCATCATCAGCTGAGTGTCGTAGACCAAGTAGATGGAAAAGATCAGAGCCCCTAGGGAGGCATACACCAGTTGCACGATCTTGTTGTGCACAAACATTGCCACAATACCAAACACCAACAGAATGATGACGGCAACCAACAGAACCCCACCCATCATGGTAAAATCGTACTTCGTTTGAAAGGCAAACAGAGTCAAAGCCAAACAAACCGCCGCAGTTATACCAACAGCCATCAGCACAGCATCCTGCTTGTAAGTGCTGGCACTGACGCCCAATAAAAACCCTTCCGCTATGGTGAATATAAACAGCATCACGTAGTTAATAGGAGCCTTTCTTCTGACCTCTCCACAACATGCCAATGTGATCATTGCAACGATCATCACCACAAGAGCCACAATGAACAAGCTGGGCGTGTTGTGGACGAAGGCTTTGGTTTTCGGTTCGTAGCACAACAGCGCGATGAAGCCCATGGTGATGGCGAGCTGAACCATCAGAATAGAGTAGACTTTTCGAATAAATCCACGTCTGATCGATTGGTCTGAGAAGTCGAAGCCTTTGACTTCGGGATCTTCAGCATCGTAGCCTCCATATCCTGGAAAATCAACCAAACGGTTTCAGCAAAGGCATTGAGCTGGTTTGGATCAGAAGCTACATGCACTGTGAGAGAGCAACATGGTGAATCAGGAGCTTCAAATTGTGAAATAGTTTCAATTCTTTCAGAGGCGGCTAGTGAAGGGAATAATCGAAATAATAAATGTTTCAGAAATTTTTTTGTGCAAATCGAGTCTAGCGATCGAATCGAAAACTGAAGATGCGCATTGAGAGAGCATCAGTTTATGCGATAGACAATAACTCCAATTTTTAAAATATAGATCTGGTTTTTTTCTCGTTCCTTTAAATGTATATTTTTCCTTGATTTCATTTGTGCATTTGCCGACGTTTGGGGTAAAAATATCATCAAGCTTTATTATCTAAACAATAAAAATTCAATTTTTTCCCATCAGCACTTGACTGTAAATAGATCTTTAGCATTTTTGCAAAACGCCTTACAAGAACATTTAGATGATTTTCCCCTTAATGTGTTACGAAAATGTAAGTGTTTCCCAACTAGTTGTAAACCTATTGCTCGATCCACCTCGAATGCCAGATATTACACCCATGGATTTTTCGGTTTGCGGTTTTATTAAATATCAGGCAGGTTTATCAAACACCATAAGCAGATTTAGACCATCCAATTTTTAAAATTCGAGCTTCCTGTGCGAAACTGACACACTTTTTAGCTAAATTTACAAAAAGTTATAAAAAACCATCGACTTACGATTAATTTGAACAAATAAAAAAAATAGGTCCGAATCAAAAAATGGGAGTTAGTGTCGATATCCCATAAACAATAAGCGCTATTTTGTTAAATTTAATAACAATAAGCGCTATTTTGTTAAATTTAATAAATTACGTACTTACTACCAAACCTTTGCTAGGAGAAAAAGCTACATTTTCCCTCATCAACTTACCCTATTTCGTGGTCCAAAATATTACTTAAAACTTATTAAAAATCTTCATGCCATTTGGACATTCAACTATCTTCATTTGATATGTTTTTGAATGAAACTTCGAGAGCTTGATGACCTTACTTGAGCTTAATGATGTTATCAAATAGCAGAATATTACGCTAGATCAGCATGGTGTTTGATGCCTTTGTTTAGTAGATGCCGAGCTGGTTATTCAAAACATCACTCTCAACAACACAATGAAGATTAGATATAGAAAATTGGTGTTAAATGACCATATAGGGGCTGGCAACAACCTAAACAACAGCTGTCCTTAATCACTCTTAATCCCCAAAGGATTAATTGAGCTGAAAAAGCTTCTACCACTACTAGCATCAACACCAATCTCCAACTAATGCGCAAAAAGAGCCCATCCCCTTGAAGCAAACTCACACTCTTCAGCATTGTGAAAAAGCATCTGTTACAAACGTGGAAAACCCACCCCCTCAAATCGTTCAAAGCATGCACTTTCAAGCTGAAACTATTACTTGAAATAAAACAAGACGAACCATCATGTGCGTTGTTAGAATTAAACGGAAATGCTTCACCTTGGTTGGCCCCCCCATACGGATCCCCATAGGGAGGAGGCTGGAAACCCGGTTGGGGCGCACTTGGGTAACCGCCTGGTTGGGGGTAGCCGCCCTGAGGATATCCTTGCGGAGGAGGCGGATAGACGCCTGGTTGTGGGCCATAGCCGGGCTGTTGTTGCCCTGCATACGGTCCTGGAAGACATAGCAAAAGCCTAAAATACGCCCGTTTATCCCAATGCTTATTGGAATCGATTAGGCAAATGGAGATGATGGGATGGGGGTGGGTCAGGAAAATAAAAGTAACTCCTTTCAGGCACCAGGAGGCCTTTTATGCATACATTTATGTAAACCTTCAAATTGGAGGTAAAAGATGCTGATGAACAGTACGAGTCTTGTTTTAGAATAGTTATATATTACATTCCAGAGTAGGTAGATAAGTCGATTGTGCGATATCGGAAATGTAATTTGTCACTAATGAGACTTGTATGATTAGGTAGGATTCCTCCTTATCCTTACAGATTCGCATCGAGGCGTCATCATCAATAAATAAACCCGAAATTTAGATATTTTAAGTTAAGTTTCTTGCAGATGCACAAGCATCATTTATGTCATTCACGAAAACAAGCTCTGATAATATTCCTACTTTTGGGACTATTTGCTACGCAAATAGACGAAACCTTTCACTGATGAAGGTCGGGATTTGGAGAATTTTTGCAAAAATCTCCATGTTTTAGCAGGACAGTAATGCAGACAAGCAAAATTGCAGTTGAAGCACATACGCAAAGCATATAAAGTAGATTGTCAGAAAAACTAGATACAATCCACCACTAATTACCCTCTAACTACTAAACCCATAGTATTAAAAAATCTTAATATTTTTTAAATGAACCAACGTGTTCTGCACAAACTTTTTCAATCGTTTACGCGCCCTCCAACTATTCGCTTTGTGTTTGTTTGCCTAAAATCGATTAACGCAATTTTCTTAAATAAATGGCTCGCCAAAGTCAGCTAATTTCTAGGCTGAAAGAATGTTGCTAGTCTAGTGACTAATTGGATGAAAGGCCCTGTTGATGAGCTGACAACAGATGGAAGCTCTTAGCGTGATTAAATGTTTCCATTACGTCTATGAGGAAGAGGCATGAACAGGCATGAGCCCTTCTTTGAAAGATTCGAACTTTACCATTCGGTTAGCTTTAGCTTTGAGCGAAGTTAAGAATGATTACTGTCCACCTCGTCTACAGATATTCTTAAATGTAGGGCTCATTTGCAATTCTAAAATACACACGCGTCTTCAGAACAAACGTATTAAAACCTTGGGCTTCTAATCGCTAAACTGTTGTCGTTAAAAGACAATCGATTATTTTCTATAGAAATCTCAGACTTTGATAGCAAAAAACCATCAAGTTTAAACGAGAATGTTATTGCAATGAGTCAGGCAATTTTGATTCGCCTATTGAATTCTCTGAGAAGCTATTTTTACTCTATGAACTGATTAATGCGAATAATCCCCCAAGTAAGTACCCACGAATGTACAGGTGTAAAAGTGCAAAATAGCAAGTATTACCTTGGTTGTAGTTATAGGCCATCCTCAATGTTCAGCAGCCTGAAACAATACAGTATAAGCAAATAAAGGCAAACTTTATCACATTAATTACTCGATAATTTGAACAGATAAACCGCAAAGCTCCAAGTGAGTATTTGAAGGGATTTATACTGGGTGATATTTTGAATTTATACCTACAACCCTGAGATTTTGCATAGAAAATATCGACCAAAGTTTTATATATGGGTAAGGTAAACATGTAAACGGTGTCTTTAAACGGTTCTACTATATCCATTGCATTATATGCAGGCAGTGGCAGTAGAAAAACATTACTTTCGACTAATTATAGAACAACACTCTCAATATATGTTTGTATTGTTGTGCAGGTGCAGTAATTCATACGTTTATCAGGCAACTTACTTGCAAAATATCCTGCGATAAATAATGAGAAAAACGACTGTTTATCGTTAAATAATGCACTTTACTAAAAGTATTTATCTAGAACACTTTTCCTGAAGCACTGGAATTTCCTGGAAATCCCTGTCTATTAACGTCTGTCAATGTCTACGCAGATGAATGAATCATCTTTTATAAATACGTTCCGTTATTAATTAGTAGGCGCCATCTTTTGACTGCCAATAAATTTTGGATTTTTAAAATTCCTAGAGAAACAGATTATAATTGAAAATACCCGAATTTACTTTAGAAAGTCCAGCTATAATTGAGGGATTTTACTGCAAAACTCTTCATGGGCAATTAAAATTTATAAATTTAGGGTATTCACACATATCACCGCCAAATTGGTGAACGTACCCCTCGGTGTTCAGATTCGACAAATTGTTGTCAGAATTTCGGAGTTTACCTAAACTACATATTTGTTTACTGCATTAATTGTTTGTTTTATGCGGAAAAATGTTTAGTACGGTCTTAAATAGTAATAAGTGCCCCGATCTGTGAACTGCCACTCTTCACGTGTATTTACCGCCTTATTAAATCTTCAATTTACAATTGACCCGGAAGCAGGAACTGGAGTAAGTTTATTGTTCTTTTCCTCAATTAAAAATCAAATGTTCTTTAACTTTAAAAGTGTTTTCATACGCATTGGCTCACCCCCTTTTCCATTGACCCTGAATTTTATTGATTTGGCCAAAGTTTGGCTTTTTGTTTTTGTTTTGTTTGTCACATAGTCAATAAAGAAATTCCATAAAACCAATCTCAGTTACGCTGCGGAGCACAAGCCTCTTTACTGATCTTTCCAGATGGACACCAAAACAGCCCTTTTGTTGTTAAGAAAGTGAAAATGCCCAAGTTAAACACCCCCATTCAGTTTTTCCCAACTGTGCGGACATTTTCTAGTCTATACTGCCCCTTGATTATCTCCTTGATTC